TCTCTCCCTCTGTCTCTGTCTCTCACTCTCTCTCTCTCTCTCACACACACACACTCTCTCTCTGTCTCTGTCTCTCTCTCTCCCTCTCATTTCCTTTCTTTATCGCAAATTTTCCCTCTCCTCTCCTTTATCACCGTTTCTCTCTTAGCAGAAAAGCGGAAGGAGAAATATTGCTAAACGAGGCGACGAAGGAGGTAGACAGAAGAATACGATGAACAGGAAGAAGAAAGAAGATAGAAAGAAAGAAAAAGAGAGAAAAAAAAGGATAGAGATAATTGCGATAAAAATTAAGACAAAGACGAGGAAGAAAAGGAAGGAGAAATAGACGAAGACGAAGATGAAGATAAAGAAGACGAAGACAAAGAAGATAACAGAAGGAGGAAGGAGGCGACAGAAGACAAAAAGAAACATGAAAATGGGTAAAAGGAAACAATAGAAAATAAAGAAGAATGGACAGAAGGTTTTAGAAATACGAAGATTCTAAATAAAAACAACTTGGTAATAATAATAATAATAATAATAATAATATCAATAATAATAATAATAATAATAATAATAATAACAATAATAATAATAATAGTATTAATAATAATAACAAAACAACAACAATAATAACAATAATAACAATAACAATAACAATAATAATAATAATAATAATCATAATAATAATATTAATAATAATAACAAAACAACAACAATAATAACAATAACAATAACAATAATAATAATAATGATAATAATAACAATAATAATAATAATAATAATAAATACAAAACGTAAGATGGCGCTGATGCCAGAGATGACGTCATCGTACAATTGAATGATCGCGTTTTATTTAAAAAAAAAGGATTCTATTCGACTATTTATTAGAGAGCGATCGCCTTATAACATGTTTTTCCAATTTCATCTTTTTGAAATTGTAAGTTTTTTTTCCCTTTCAATTGATGTGTATTATTATACATATATATTGGACTTGGTTATCAAAGCATCTGCTCTCGTAACCATGACTATCGTTATTTATTGCTACACCTCTCTCTCTCTCTTTCTATTTGCCTTTTCCTTTCCATTGCTCTCTCTTTTTCTTTCTCTTTTTCTTTGCCCTTTCCTTTCCATTTCTCTTTCTTTTTCTTGCTGTTGCTCTTTCTCTTTTTCTTTGCCTTTTCCTTTCCATTTCTCTCTCTTTCTCTTGCTCGTTCTCTCCCTCTCTCTCTTTCCTTTTCTCTCCCTCTCCCTCTCTCTCTCTTTCCTTTTCTCTCCCTCTCCCCCTCTCTCTTTCCCTTTCTCTCCCTCTCCCTCTCCCTCTCCCTCGCTCTCTCTTTCTCTCCCTCTCTGTGTGGTATGTGTGGTGCAGCGGTAGCGATCTCGTCTAGCAATCTTGCTGACCTGCGTTCGAATCCCTCGCCGCCAGTGGATGGCAACCCCGGCCATTCCTCGCACACAGGGGATAAAGAAGCAAAATGAAACAGACACTATGTCACACCAAGAATATCCATTGTAACAAATGGAATCAAACTAAACCTTTAATCTCTCTTTCTCTCTCTCTCTCTCTCCCTTTCTTCCCCCCCCCCTTTCTCTCTCTCCTATCTCCTCTCCTCTTCATCTTCTCTCTCTCTCTCCTTCTCTCTCTCTCTCTCAGATCTCTCATCTCTCTCTCCTTATCTTTATTATCATCCATTTAGCATCAATAAATAAACAACCAGACAGAATGATACATAAAAAAAAACACTCCATCAACCACAGAATAATAACTAAAAAAAAAGGACAAAAAGACGGCAGCTTCCGCCCTCGCCCCCTCCTTAACCTAGCCGCCTCCACCCCTTGCTTCCTCCATCCCCCTACACCCCACCCCCCCTCGCCATGAAAAGGAGTGGGCACCCGCACCCCGTCTTAATCTCCTCTCTGAGAATCACCGATTCTAATTATTCTGAGCCAATGTTCCTGCTTTTAGATTCTCCGTAATCAGTAGACTGTCAACACGACGGGCAATTAGAACACGAGAGAGTCCAGTTTAAGGAGCCTAGGAGAATGGGGCCTTTTTTTTTTTTTTTTTTTTTTGTTTGGCTTAAATAGAATTCGTTGATTATTGTCTTAAAGATTAGGAATTCCTGTCTTGTTTATTGTTGGTTTTTTATTCTATTTTTTTTTGTCAGCATCCCTGTCGTCGGTCTACTATTCCTCCTCCCTTCTTCTCTTTCTCCTCCTTCTCCTCATGAGTTCCTCCTACAGCCACTTCTCTCCTTCTCCTATTCTCCCTCGCCTTCTTGTCTCCCGTACCTCTCTCTCCTCATCTCTCCTCTCATTCTCCGCGCCGGCGGCCTTGGCCTTTTTACCGTTACCTCTTCTCCTCCTCCTCTCCTTCTGTGTCCCCCAACTCTCCCTCTCCCCTCTTCCACTCTCCGACACTCTCACCCCCTCCCCCCCTCCCCCACGCTCGCTACACCAACCAAGCCCCCCCCCCCAGGGGACAGGGGGGGTATGGGCACTGGGAGGGGGGAGGTAGGGCACAGGGGGGTATGGGGCACTGGGGGGGAGAGTAGTCACAGGGGGGTATGGGTACTGGGGGTTATGCGATCTAAGGGAGGGGGGGGCGTGAATGGGCACTGCAGGGTCCCGGACGCAAACTGCGCTCCCCCGCCCGCCCCCTACACACTTGCTAGCTCTCATCTCCTCCTTGCTTAAGCTTAAGCAGTCACGTGTGGGAGAGTTTTTGTGTGTTTTTTCATTCCTAACGCACCACACATGTCATTATTCTTATGTGCATTATTTGTATATGTTTATAATAGTGTTCGTGTGTGTGTGTGTTGTTGGTGTTGTGTGTGAGTGTTTGGTTGTGTGTGTGTGTTGGTCGGTGTGTGTGTGTGTGTGTGTGTGTGTGTGTGGTGTGTGTGTGTGTGGTGTGTGTGTGTGGTGTGTGTGTGGGTTTTGTTGCTGTGTGTATTTGTGCGTGCGTGCGTGTGTACATATAAATGATATACATATATATATATATATATATAATATATTATATAAATATATTAAATATATATATATATATTAATGCATATAATGTAAGTATATGTAGTGAGATGTATAACATAGAAACAATGAAAAGGTAGACAGATAAACGTACATTCCCCAACCACAAAGTGACATAAATAACCGAGTCCCCCCCTTTCCAGACTCCCCCCCTCCCCCCTTCCAAACGGCCCCTGAGCTAATAATATCACCGACGTTTAATTTTCAGCAATATCCTAATCACATTGAATTCCAGGATCTGTTATTAACTTCGGCTCATTAAGAGAATCAAAAACAACTTCCGTTTTTATTTCATTAATCGAGCTGTTCAGCGATGTGAAGGGGAGAGATCTCTCCTCTCTTTCACTTTTTCTCTCTCTTTCACTTCTCTCTCTCATGTCTCTCTCTCTTTCACTCTCTCTCACTCTCTCTCTCTCTCATTTCTCTTTTTCTCTCTCATTTCTCTTTCTCTCTCTCTGTCCTCTCCTCTCTCTCCTCTCTCTCTCTCTCTCTTCCTCATCTTTTCTCGTCTCTCACTCTCTCTCTCTCTCTCTCTCTCTCTCTCTCTTCTCTCATCTCTCTCTCTCTCTCTCTCTTCTTTCTCTCTCTCTCTCTCTCTCTCCGAATCTTCTTCCTCCTCCCCCTCTCCCTCTTCTCTCTCTTTCTCTATTTCCCCCACTGCCTTTCTCTTTCTCTTTTTTTTTCTCTCTCTCTCGGCCTTGCAACCTTGCACTCCCCCTCCCTCCCCCTCCCCCTCCCCCCCCTCCGGCCACCCAAAGCCTTGCCCCCCCCCCCCCCTCTGTCTCATAACTTCAACCCTCCCTCCCCCCCCTGTAATCTCCTCCATTCTTCCAGTATGCATACCCCTTCTCCTATTTCCTCTTCCTCCTCCTCCTCCTCATCAGCATCATCATCATTTATTCTCCTTCCTCTTTCTCTTCCTCCTCCTCCTCCTCTTGCTCCTCTTCCTTCCCATTCTCACGACCTACATTCCTCCCTTTCCCCCTTCCCCCCTTCGCTTCTTACGCCCCCCCCCCCATCCTGACCTTCCAATCCCCCTCCTTCTCCTCCTCCCCTACCCCCCCCTCCTTCCCTCCCCACTGCCCCGCTTCTTACTCACACTCTCCCCGCCCCCTTCCCTTCGCCCTCCACCCCCCCTCCCCGCCTACATCTTCGCTCTTCACCTTCCGTGCTTTCCCTCCTCCTACCCCCTCCTTCGTCTCCCCCCTCGCCCCCCTCCTTTTTTTCTCCCCCACCCCCCACCCCCCCCATCTTCTTCTACCACCCTCCCTTTCTTCTTTCTCCCCCCCCCCCCCACCCCCCCCTCCCCCCCTCCCTTAGCACGTTACGTCACCGCCCCTTCCCCCTCCCTCTCTCTCTCACCCCCTCCCCCCTCCCCCCTCCCTTAGCACGTACGTCACCATCCCCCCCTTCCCAGCTCCCTCTCTCTCTCTCCGCCCCCTCCTCCCCCTCTTCTTTACTTCCTCGCCTTCTTTTCTCCATCTCCCCCCCTTCCCCCCCTCTCCCAGCTCCCCCCTCCCTTTGCACAAATAAATAACTAAAAAAAAAAAAAAATAATAACGCTATAAATAAATAAGCAACAATAAATGCACAAAATAATAATAACAATAAATAATAACAAACAATAATAATAAACACTAATATTAAATAATAATAATAAATATCAACAATAAATAATAATAATAAATATCAATAATAAACAATAATAATAATAAACAATAATAATAAAGATTAATAATAAACAATAATAACAGATAAACAAGGGAGATGAAGGAAGAGAATAACTACGAATAGAAGGCGATGAAGGGAGGAGATTAACCGCGAAGAACCACGGAATGAAACACGGCAAGATAAACACAAGAAAAGAGAAACACAAGAAAAGAGAAACACAAGAAAAGAGAAACACAAGAAAAGAGAAACGCAAGAAAAAGATAAACACAAGAAAAGATAAACCCAAGAAAAAGCGGCGACGGATCGGCACTCACCGTTCGCCTAGTCGCGCGGATCCCGGATGCGTGACGTCAGAGCGTGACGTCATCGATGCAATTCATCCCGGTGCATTCTGGCAGCACGTAC